GCTAAGTACATGTGAATCGCAGCTTAGTCTGGTTTAAGAATGCGTACTATCCAGGAGCCGTCTCATGGAATATCCAATTTCATTGAAGCTTGGCACGAAAGGACTGCAACTCGAAAGGGAAAGCTTCAGCGTTAATGTAACTGATATTAACTTGAAAGGTCTTAGCTTGGAACACTATTGTACCTGGTTGATTTGCTACGGGGCTGGCTTGTGAATTTTCGTTCCTGGCAGTATTCTTGGTAACAAACCGGCTGGTGTACCCGACGCGACAGGTTGTGAAAATACCTATCATTTGTTGTTTCGCCGAAATATCTTCAAGAAGTAATGATGGCTACGGCAGTTCTGTCAATGAGGTCATAATAAATGAGGCTTGATCTCGTTGTTTCGGCCAGAAGCGGCATGCCTTGCGTGCTTGCGTGATGCATTGGTCGATCTCTGCCAAGGTACAGGGTAATTTAGTTGGCCGAAGTGTCACCTAACGGTCAGGCCAGGCCCGAAAGAGGTTAGACCGTTTCACTGACAACTCCACTTGATTGCTACCGCGTTAATAAACTTCCTCCTCTACTATCACTATCATCTAACTCGTCTCGGTTAACAATGCGAACCTCGCTCCGAAGATCTTGTAATGCTTGCGCGAAGGCGAAGCACAGTTGCGATCTCGGAACTCCGAAATGTTCACGATGCCTCAAGAGAAAAGTCACGTGTATTTACGCAAACGTGCCTTTGTCTTCATCATCAACAACATCGTCAACACCGGAACAGCCGGCTCGGAGCAGGTCGATAGAGAAGTCTGAGGCGAAGACGTATTCTTTGAAGAATCGAGACTTGGATTTGGCTTCTCAAAACTCAATGGAGCTATTTGCACCGGCTGGCAATTCTTTCGATCCGTTTGACTCGTATCCAACAACCAGACTTCCCAGGGTTCACGTTCAACGATTGATACAGCACTGTAAAGCATTGCCTATCAAGCTTTAAGATGTTCATCTATCTGACTTAAGGACTAGTTCTCTCAAATATCTCCTTTCAATACTACCCTCTGGACCTCAACATGTCCTCAAATCCATTCATCGTGTCATGGTGGCCATTGGCTCTTGCAGATCCAGCATTATTCCATGTCTCAATACAGACGGCATCACTAGATGAAGAGAGGCGTGCCCAGAAGGGCTTCCCTATATCAGAACTTCTCATGGTAGATTCTGTATCTCTAATACGGAAGAAGATTGGGAGTTCGTTGCTGGCGATTCAAGATGAGACACTGAACTCTGTTGTTACCTTGGCTGCTATTGAGGTGAGTAATTTCTTCGGGGCTACCGAATATGACTCTGTTGATTGACTCTCGAGTGTAGCATGGAAAGGGAAATATTGACGCTAGTAGAGCCCATATAGACGGGGCCAAACGTATCGTTGGGATCCGGGGTGGACTTGATCAAGTGAAACAAGCGAGCCCGTTGACCGCGAGGATGATTGCTTGGTGAGTTATATCTTCTTATCACCGCGAACGACTTGCTGAATTGACTTCAAAGGGTATCATTGCTCGTCACAGGCTATCCTCAATATTCAATACAAGACGACCTCGGAATTGGAGATGGAGTTGGTCCTACGCTGCAATGGCTTCTCGCATCATCCTTCCTCGAGATCCAAGACCCTGTTGTTGACGCTCTCCACCTCGATCGCGACATAGCAGATATTTTAACTCGTTTGCGCGGCATATTTCATCAACCGAACGCTTTAGGTTTGTTGGGCACCGAACTTCATGATCTTACATGTTTCGTGGTTCATAAGCTCCTGCTCATCCCGCCACTCACAGACTCGCCTCAGTCGGAGTGTCTACGATCCGCCATGGCACTTTACATGCTCATCATACATGGAACAACTTATTATACGCATACAGAGCTGGCCAACAGTATTATTCAGCGCCTCAAGAGCCAGCTCCAACCTTTAGCAGGTAAAACGGGCAGCGTCTTTTTCGGTTCGTTACAGATCTGGGTCCTTTCAGTCACAATTGTCTCGGCTACGGATCCAACAGATATCCAATGGCTGATATACGCAGCTAAGATTGCAGCAAATGCTATGGGTTTACAGTCCTGGGATGATGTTGTTGTCCATTTACAGAATATTCTGTGGCTAGAGACAGAGCGCGCAGACGTATTCCGACAGCAGTGGGAAGCAATTCTGACATGAGCACGCACAAATTTCAATTAAAACAATTATCACGAAATTCAAAAGTCCTGAAAACGGACTCTGAGACGCTCTGGAAAAACGTACGACACATTGATTCGCGAAAATTGCGTATTCGGTTTCACGATTTTCGATCGGAGACTAGCCCTAAAATGTACTAGTCTCCGCGATGTCAGAGGTGCTAAGCGATGCATCAGGCTATAGCCGGGACCAACGGGAACAAACAGATTTGACAGCAATACCATTCGAATAGAATATACCACTAAAGTTTAAGATGCGACTTGATAGTTTGCTGATGGACTCAGAGATCCCTCGGTGGATGGAGATAGAACTCAGTATCAGGCAGACGAAATATCCTTTGCATGGTCTGATACCAATTCTAAGGGACTGAATTACGACACGTTGAAGGATGAGACAGATTTGATATGATAGATACACAGGTCATCTTCTCCACCCTTCAGATCGGAGTCTAGTACACATGCAGTAATCTTGAATCTAGCAATATCAGCCCATCTCATGTCAAGGGCCATACTCGCAGGCAGATCAAGTTAGAATGGCCATTCCTTTGTATTGAGGATGCTGCCTGATACCCGAAGTATGCTCAGGTGGTTCGTATTCTTGTTGTAAGAGCCGATCAGTCCTGGATGCTAAGTTCCTAGACAACCCCTGCACTAGAACCCAGCATGTACCTGTAAGTCCTATCCTATAAGACCTCTGTTTCCTCCGGATCTGTATCAGTTTCGATGTATAGGTGCACCGTTTTCTTTCGTTCCTCACAATGGCATCTATAGTCAACTCAAGGGATGAGGCAATGGTCTGTAATGCCACCTTCACCCCTCAAGATGACTTATCCAACAAGAATGGGCTACTCTCACGCTACCTCAACGGCTACAGCAACACTCAGCTACTCCTCACAATTCTAGTTGTCTTGGTTGCATACGATCAATGCATGTATCTCTGGCGTAAGGGCCCAATTGCCGGTCCAGCATTCAAGATCCCTTTCATGGGCCCCTTCATCCGAGCACTATATCCTAAGTTCGACCACTATCTTGCTCAATGGGCCAGCGGTCCTCTGAGTTGCGTGTCAGTATTCCACAAGTAAGTCATAGTCCCATTCTTAGCGATGAACGCCGCTTATCACGTCCACAAGGTTCGTCGTCCTCGCTTCCGACCGTGATATCGCACACAAAGTATTCAAGTCTCCAACATACGCCAAACCATGCATCGTCCCCATGGCCGAAACCCTCCTACGGCCAAGCGCCTGGGTCTTCCTCCAAGGAAAGGCACATACTGAATACCGCAAGGGACTCAACGGGCTCTTCGTCAACAAAGCTCTCAGCACGTACCTACCAGTTCAGGAGATGGTATACGATGATTACTTCGGCCGGTTCGTAGCAGCAAGCGAGGCAAACAAGGGGAAGCCGATGGCATTCATGCGTCTTTTCCGGGAGATCAATTGTGCTCTGTCTTGTCGAACATTCTTTGGAGATTACATATCTCAAGATGCTGTCGAGAAGATCGCAGATGACTTTTATGAGGTCACAGCTGCCCTTGAGCTCGTCAACGTACCCCTTTCCGTCTACGTTCCCTTTACAAAGTGTTGGAAAGGAAAGCGTACAGCAGATGCCGTTCTAGCTGAGTTCGCAAAGTGTGCTGCGGCTTGTAAGGCTAACATGGCTGCTGGTGCTGAGCCACGATGCATCGTTGATCAATGGGTTTTGCACATGATGGAGTCCAGGAAATATTACGACCGTATCGCTGCGGGAGAAGAGGGAATTGAGAAGCCACGAAACCTCATCCGTGAGTTTACAGACGAGGAAATCGGGCAGACCATGTTCACCTTCTTGTTCGCCTCCCAAGATGCTTCCAGCAGTGCTACTACGTGGCTATTCCAGGTCCTCGCTCAACGCCCCGATGTTCTCGATCGTCTTCGAGAAGAGAATCTCGCCGTACGAAATGGTAACAAACACCAACCCTTTGATCTGTCAATGCTCGAGTCCCTTCCATACACCAACGCAGTCATCAAAGAGCTTCTTCGATATCGTCCTCCTGTCATCTTTGTCCCCTATGAGGCTACCAAATCCTTCCCCGTCACACCCAAGTACACAGTATCCAAAGGCACTCTCATCGTCCCTACATGTTATCCCGCGCTTCACGATCCTCAAGCCTATCCTAACCCTGAGACTTTTGACCCTGATCGATGGATCACGGGTGACGCCGAATCAAAGACCAAGAACTGGCTTGTCTTTGGAGCTGGTCCTCACGATTGTCTGGCTCGCAAGTATGTTCCGCTTACTATGGCTGCCATGATTGGCAAGGCCTCTCTAGAACTAGACTGGGTGCATCATGCAACCAGCCGTTCGGAAGAGATTAGAGTGTTTGCTACTTTGTTTCCTGAGGTAAGTGTATTGTATGCTCAGTAACAGTTGTCGCGTACTGACTTATGGTGCTATTAGGATGAATGCCAGCTGGTCTTCACCAAGAGAGAGTAAGCTGTTGCTCGTGATAGACGTAAAGTGTTGTTGGAATTTGCTTGAGCCTGGTATTCAAAGTGTGTATCTATCAATTACTATAGAAGGGGCCAGTTAGTGGCTCGAGAATGAGAAAACACTGCAGATGACGGATGCATATTTTGTGACTATTTTATGTAATGATCTGTTTAAGTCATGGCTAGATGCTCGCTAATACGAATGGAATACAAAGCTATATACAAAGTGTTGAAAGGCTTCGGCCATCTGGCCGGTATGTCCTTAGAAAGGGTGTCAGAATGGCAGCCTATTATACATTACAGCTAGCCAACGCGTTGACTGCTGGCCACGAACTTAAGCAAAGACACTGTCTAGAAGGAAAGCAACCTGCTCCTTTCGAACGTTGTCAACAGCAGTGTAGCTGAGGTCAGTCTTGTTGACATCGAAGACAATGTTGAGAGGCTCCGCAAGCGAGTACTGAGGCCAGGTAACATGGCTGGGAGCAGTTTCGACAGTGTTGGGGGTCAAGTCGTGCATGAAAGAAACCCACATCTTGCTCATGAGGTCAGCAAGCTCAACGAAAGTCTCAGGCTTGCCCTCGAAGGGGTTGGGCTTGTAGCCGACACCCTTGATGTTGTTGAAGACGAAAGCAACCTCCTGAAAATGGGTAGCTCCGAGGATGGCGGGAAGGCCGTTGACGTAGACGTTCCAGAGGTAGGAGAAGACGGGGATGGAAGAGGTGGAGTAGACCTGGGCCAAGAGACGTCGTCCGGCGTGCTGCTGGAAGTCACCAGCGAATGCGGCGACACGCTTCCACTGGGAGCCATACTCGTTTGTAGGACGACCAACGAAAGATGCGGGGATGCCTTCATCGGGGATATCAGGGTACAGAGTAGTAGCAGTAGCGACCTGAGTCTCGGTGAGGCCGAGGCTGGAGAGCCAAGACTGGAACTGCTCGGTAGTGTTGATGCCCTTCTTACCATAGGCAGTGCCCTCATCGAAGTTGTTGCCCATGAGAAGAGGAACGTGAGCGAACTTGCCAGCTAGAAGGAGCTTAGAAGCCTGGGCGGTCATGAAGTCACCGTCGATAACAGCAGTGAGAGTAGGGGCGGTGACGTCGAGAGGGGTCGTGTTGTTGAAGATGTTGTTGAGGGTCTCCCAAGGGAGGCCACGAAGACACTCAAGGTTGTCGGAGGCAGAATCACATCCAGTCTTCTTGACGAGGGCGTCGTAGTACCCCTGCCAGTCAGAAGCATCGTTGAACAGAGCAACAGGGCTACCAGACTCGAGAACAGCAGCACGGAAGAGGTTGTCGTGCTGACCATCGTAAGCGACGAGCTGCATACCCAGGGATCGAGCGCCAGCAGACTCTCCCCAGACAGTGACCTTGTCGGGGCTACCACCGAAGGCCGCAACATTGTCCTGGAGCCATCTCATGGCCATGCGCTGATCCTTGAAGCCCAAGTTACCGGCATTCTCCTTCTGCATCTCCTCGCTGAAGAGGAAACCCCATTGCGACACGCGGTAGTTGATGGAGGCAGCGACAATAGGCTTACCCTCCTTGACGGATTGATCAACGATGTAGCTCAGGTTGTACCTGGGGTCTCGGGAACCGCCGTTGGTGTAGCTCTGTTATATCGTTAGTCATAATATAGAGCTGGAAATTTAAGTCGGGAACTTACGCCTCCATGAACCCAAAGACCAACAGGTAGCCCATCTCCGGCCTTGACACCAGAAGGTCGTACGATGTTAATGGTCAAGCAGTCCTCATTGACGGGGTTACCAAGGCTCTGGGTATCAGAGCCGTAACCAATACACATCCATCCGAACTCAGTTGCAGATCGAGGTCCCTTCCAGGCTTTATCAAGAGACTTGGGCGCGGAGAAACGCAATGGGCCTACGGGAGGTTGGGCATAGGGCATGCCAAGGAACAGATCATGATCATACGTGGTGTCATGCTTGCCCTGGTAAGTTCCGTTGCAGACCTGAGCAGTAGGAACGCCTGGAGGGGAAACGTGGGGAGGACCGTGAGCGGGAGGAGGGGGAGGGGGAGGAGGACTGGGAGGTCCTCGAGGACTTGGAGGGCCAGGAGGATGATGATCGCCAGGAACAGGAGGGGGAGGGTAATGGGGAAGGGCAGAAGCATAACCAGAGAAAGCCGCCAGGAGCAGGCTTAGTGTGTTTGAGGAATGCATCTTGTAGCGTTTTGACAAAGGGACAAGGTGCAGTGAGGATCGCGAGCTGAGCTTCTAGACGACGTCTGGAAGAAAATATGAGGAAGCTCGTTTAAGAAACTTGCATCAGTGGCTTGTCATGTCGATCGCTGTCTTTAAGTTCAACGGACGTCGAGGCCTGGTGGGCCATGAGAAAGGAGCATTGTCCATACGAAAGATATGGTCTACCATGTCATGACTTGAGTGAAATTACATGCTCTTGTCCCAGGGATCGTACATCCGAAGAAGTGCCAGATTCGCCTAAAAGAGCTGGCACTTTGTTGCTTGCAAAGAAGTACAGAGCGGGCACGAAAGAACATCTCGCTGCCTTGAGGAAATATGCTTTGGTAGGTCTGTCGATCCCTTCCATATTCTTTCTCCAACACCGACCAAGTGTGGCCGATCAGGTTCAGCTCCCCCACATGATGCTCCGATCTCGAGTCATTGACATCGTCTGTTACAAATCCTGTAAAAAGCATTGATCCATCAACCACCAAATAAGTCTACTGACTACTGCAACAATTCTCCATTATAAACACTCACCAGCATGAACTTGCAGGACCAACTGACTTAAATCCCTGTCCGGAAGACAGTATTCCCGGGCCTTTAAAGAAAGAAAGCCGTTAACACTTGGCAGAAGGCTTAGATTGCTTCTAGAGGCAAAGGGTCGCCCGAAATCGCAACCAATCCCAACTTAGGCTTAGGTGGTGCGCTAGAAGATGCTCAAAACGCCCTAAGATGGCGGATGTAGTCCCTGTAGAGGAAGAACCCGGTGCTGAACTGTCACTCGCTAAGGGGATGTTGCGTGATTAAGGGACGGCCCCGACAGACGGACACTGAACGGAGTCACTCTTGGTAGATTCGGAAGAGCTTATGGGCATTATGCTCCAGTATTATGGAGTGATACGGGGGATCCGGACAATCTCCCGCTCCATCTATGGGGACTCGTAAAAGAATTCCATATTTTTAGAGTCTTGGCTCGCTTCGGGTACCTCAAAAACTTCGCTTGGTGAGATCGTTTGGTGGTTAGTGAGCCAGCTAAAGAGACGAAGGATGCTCTCGGTCTCACGATCGTGTGGGATGAATTTCCGTTGACAGGCCACTGATCAATGCGAAGATACGCGGTTCATTAAAATACTGGACTCGTTCCCACTCTGTAACCATGATTTCCGTCAAGGGCCTGTAAATCATTGCTCCTCTAGGGTTACACTCGACATGGTTCTCATCGCCGAGCAGTGACAATTAATCTGGCTCGGGTCTTTTCGCTTGCTTTTCTGACGTGTAAGATCTGTCAAGAACACGGTTCATGCGAGTTTCGTCCCATGATTCTGGTTTTTTTTTCTTGAGAAAAGAAAAGATCATCATCAGTCCTTGATACACACGTGGAATTGCACCCGGATCAGCATAGACCCATGTCGCAGGTAGGTCAGTAAGCAGCCAACACACATCGTTTCACCAGGTTTATGAATAAGGTGAAAGGGTCTTCAATAAATGCCCGTCTATCTTGGCAGTGTGTTTGATTCTCGCATGCAATACCCGGTCGGCCGCGGGAAACTCGGCTCTTGAAGACAGGCATTTGTTAGATCTGAGCTGGGAATGAATTTCTCCAACGTATCAGTGGACGCCAGAAGGGCCCTACTTTTGAACTTTCAGCCACCAACGCACCAAAGTCATCAGTCTAGCGGCGCTGGTCCGCTATTCCAAACTTAGCAATGACCACTGTAGCCATTCTCATTGATCAACCCAGTAGACTCGGCTCCGACAGTGAGAAAAAGGGGCGCTGCAGAGGTTCCTGTTGCCACCATATCTACGCTGCAGCCCTATCCTGGTGGGCGCGCGATCAAAGCGCTGACCCAGTAATGAATCCATATGTTCGGCCGCTATGTCTGTCAATCCCTACTGAATCTGATGTTGATGACACGATTGCCCACGGAGGGGGACCTTTTGATCAAGGTTAATCCAAAGGGGGAAGAGTGTCACTGCGACGTTGTATATAAAACCCCAGGGACCACTATTCCCAGGATCTCCGCTGTTCGTTGCCCGAAATCCGGATCGGCGTCTGGCTCTCCCACCATTGCTTGCCGTGCATGTCTTGACATCTCGCTTCTCTTTTATTTCCCTTGTATTGTCGTTCTGCGAGCGTAAAGATGGAAGATGAACGAGGAACCAGACTGTTGGTTTCAATATGGACTCTGTGCCTGCTGAGTCTCATCTTGTTGTTTCTGCGTGTTTACTGCAAACTATGGAGAGGCAAAGGTCTATGGCACGATGATTGGTGCCTTATCGCAGCCTGGGTAAGTTATCTGCAAATGCCTCTCTCGATGCTGTCTCTGACCAGCGAATTTCCTGTGTATAGGTGGCGCTCGCCATTTCTGTCTCCCTCAACACATATCTCGTATCTCTCGGCTTCGGACGACACGCAGCTACGATTAGCGACGAGAACCTCAGAATAATAAACAAGACGACCATTGTGGGAGCTGCTTTTGGTATAATGGCTACGACAATCAGCAAGACATCTTTCGCCATCACGTTATATCGAATCGCCACCAACGCATGGATGAAATACTTCCTCGTCTTTATTATCGTCACAATCAACGTCTCGATGAACTTGGTCTGGATTTTCGGTTTCGCCAAATGCACACCTATCGAGAGAGTTTGGGATCACAACGTGCCTGGAACTTGCTGGGACAAGACGAAGCTTCTCACGTTCCAACTATTCGCTGCTTGTAGGTCCTTGGCGAACAACAGTGATTGTGGTTGGTGACTGACATTTCTCAGATTACTCTGCGATTCTCGACTTTGTTCTTGCTTTACTACCTTGGGTCATCCTGATGCGCATGACCATGCGACGACGAGAGCGACTTGGCGTTGCTGTCGCCATGAGTTTAGGTGCTATGTGAGTATAAATTACCGTCAGCACACATTACTACGTCACTAACATATCAAAAGTGCTGGAATCACCGGTATAGTAAAGTCTGTACTGGTCGTCAGCATGAAGAGTGAGGACATCACCTACGACCGTGTCGACCTTACGATCTGGACTTTGACAGAGCCTGCCGCGTCCATCATGGCCATCTGCATTCCAGTTCTGTATGTTACAATTCCTTTTCCTCTCAAGCACCCGGGTTGCTAATTTAAGTAGGCGTATGCTGTATCGCGAACTCAAGTCAAGTTCGCGAAGCTACAACCGCAACAAGACCAACACAACCCCCCGCGACGTCGACACAAGGAACACAGTCGGTGCATCAAATGCTCGACAGTCAAAGCGATATAACCCCAACTCACGCTATGGTCGAAATTCGGTCGTTATCATGTCAGGATGGCAAGAGTCGCAAGAACATCTCCAAGACGATTCCGACGGAAGCCAAAGCCAGGCTAAGATGTCTATGAGTTCCGGGGGCGTTATGAAGACTGAAGAAGTGAGAGTGCACCACGAGCGTTTGAGCACATTTAGCGATGAGAATTCGATAGAGCTTAGGGGGTTGCCGCCAGCCCAAGGGAAACCTGGGCATCAAAATACTGAGAGGGCGCCCTCATTTTAGATTAGATTAATCATACTATTGTTAATGACCCTTGTCCATACGTTCAAGCTATAGACCCCAATTTCGATGTTATCATCATTCTCGTATGTCTGGGACGTAAGTTCCGATTAGTCCCGGGACTGGTCGAGGAGGCCGGGCATCTCAATTGGCCAGAGCAGAAAGCTGCGGTTCCGTGGGATCTTGAGCCATGTTATACGCCCGTCTTCCTCGTCATGTAGAAGCGGAATCCATATTGGTATATACGGTGATAAAGGTCAGCTTTATTACGGAGCTTCAGACTTGAACGGAGGTTCTTGACTAATATTCTCTTTTCTTCTTGATTAATCTATTGTATTATCATACAAAGCAAATGAAGAACGGAGGATGCATACGACGAAACTACTGTAGAGTCTCTCCTTATGATTAAGTCTGAACAACATTGACGGTACAGTTACCAATAATGATTTGAGGCTGGCACATTAATCTCATGTCTGCAGCGGTAATGATTGAACATCCTTTGCAGAAAGCTCGGATATTGTGTTAGTGTTTACGCAAGGGTTACGTGGTAGATGTTCCTCGACATCATCCGTTGCCTGTCAGCATGTCCGCCATACGATCAATCATATATTCCATTATATTAAAATAATTCAACCCTTTCTTCAAAGGCAAAGAGCCAGTATCAGTCATGATGGTTCGTTCATAGACAATATCACTGTTTATCATCCAAGCAATAGATGCCCGCCTCGCCCCCTCTCTGTATCCGTATACTAAGCCACCTAAGAGTCACAGCACTCCGTCTATACATTTCCTAATCTAGAAGCTTACTCTAAACTATTTTAACATAGGAATATGACTTGTTGTGTTAGGAATCGCCTCCATTCAACATCTGTGCAATTATGCACCGCGGTGTAACTGACAGCAATACTTCGGCTCAAAGCATATGCCACATAATCTGAAAGGTTAAAAAAGAACAGTCCATGCTGAATTCGAACTCGCGACCTGCAAAAAGCAAAGAGCGGAATAGGAAAGCGAGTTTTAGGATTTGGGTTCGGATTTTAGAAGGTTTATAGGTTACAGGTAGATACCACTACACCACTCTTCGCCGAATATATATAGAGTTCTTTTGAAATATAAAGGTAGGTGCCCTGAATTACTCAGGTGAAAGCCCTTTAGTTTTGTATAAGAGGTGACCCGGACTGAGTGGTAACACGTTCGACTTTGCATAGTTGCTCTCCGCCTATCCACCATTTACGTGTCGGCCACGGGGCAACCAAGTACTGCATGAGAGCGAAAGATCACTGAAGTCACTAACTCTTCTCCAATCAGGTTACTTAGTTATTACGAAAACGATACCATCGAGGTATTTCTGGGAATTCGTGCTTACATTTATCGAGGAAAGGGGCATGGCATGGAAAGTCGGCGAGATTACAGCAGGTGCCTTTGTAGGCATCACTGGCAGCA